TGAACTCTTGAGCTCAGGCAATTCGCCTGCCTCAGCCTCCCAAAGTGCTGGGATTACAGGCACCACTGCGCCCAGCCAAAAGGCATTTCATTCTTGATGATGGTGGTGGTGATGACGACAACCATTATATTAATGGAGCAATTGCTATGAGCCAGGTATTTCACAGCAACTCTATAAATTACATTATTATTGTTATCCTCATTTTATAGCTGCAGAAATCATGATACAAAGAAGATAAGCAATCTCCCTCAAGTAGTATTTGAACAAGGCCTCTCAGAGGTTGACAGAGGCTTGGGCCACTTTTATTGGCTAAGGTCTTTGATATATTTAAAATGGACTCTTTTTGGATGGGAGAGTATATAAGGGCATAAAATAAAATAAAATGCACTTTTCACAATAATCTTAGACGGGAGGCATTATCTCCATTTTACGGAGGCAAATGCAGAGATTTAGAAAAATAACTGGCCCAAAGTTCCATAGCTAGTCAGTGGTAGAACTGGGACACAGTTGCTTCTCTACTAGCCTACACAGATAGGTGGAAATTTCCAGGGGAAATGGGAGGTAAGAGAAGCAGTATGTATTGTATGCCCACTATACGCCATGGTTTGTGCCCAGGACTTTAGATTTCTCACTTGATCCTTTGCAGTGGGAATGACCATCCTCTCCCTTGAAGGTTCAGAGAGATTATCTTCCCTAAAATCGCCCAGCTTTTTCACACTGCAAAGCCTGATCTGTGCTGGTCTGGTTCTTGAACCCATGAATTTTTCACGTCACATGCTGCCTTCCTGCCAAGGACTTGGCTCTGTTTTGATGTAGATCTATGTCCAAGAAATTTCAATCACTTGTTTCTCCCCAGGGCCAGCTGGAAGAGAATCTTGAGGGAGATAAAAATCAAATTCTTGATGTATTACTTCTTTGCTAACTCTCTCATGTAGCCTTTTGGCACTAAGTGGCTTATTTCAGAGTACTGCCTTGGTCACTTTTTACTTGAGCAAAGACATGAGACTGTTTGGGGGTCTTTACGTATCTGGCCTTGGCTTCTCTGCCTCTTCACTAGAAGAAGTGTTTTGAATGAGGGTCTTTGATTTAAAAAAAAAATTGTTTTTGAGACAGAGTCTCACATTCTCACCTAGGTTGGAGTGCAGTGGAAAATTTTGGCTCACTACAACCTCCACCTCCCAGATTCAAGCCATTCTCCTGCCTCAGCCTCCCATATAGCTGGGATTAAAGGCACCTGCCACCATGCCTGGCTAATTTTTATATTTTTAGTATTGATGGGGTTTCACCATGTTGGCCAGGATGGTCTCAAACTCCTGACCTCAAGTGATCCACACTCCTTGGCCTCCCAAAGTGCTGAGATTATACGTGTGAGCCACTGCGCCCAGCCAATAGCTATTTTTTCAAGAAAGAAATACAAATTTTTCCAATGGGGAAAAAATCATAATGAACAGATAACTGGAACTACCCTATTGTTCCCAATAATATTGTTAGTCATTTTGGATAGAAGGATGGTCAGGATCTGAAATCCCTGAATCTCGGACTGGTAGGTAAGTTGTACCACAAGCTGTAAAGGAGCTGTCAGTGAGGGGGTTGCTAAGAGAACAACTGAATTTTAATTATAGTTATCTAACCACAGCTTCCGCAACAAAAAGCTGAGGGAGGCAGGGACTGGTCTCATTCCTCAGGGGTCAAGGGACAGAATGTTTTCATATGATGGATTAAATTTTTGTAATTTAAAAAATGTTCTCCACTTTGAAAAGAAAGACTGCCTGAAATTTGAGGTCATTTTCTATTGAGGCCAATGTGGTAGTTAATGTCTCCTCCTGTGAAAGAGCAATATGTTCCTCAGAAATCATGTTGAGTTTGAGGCTGGAGTCCTGGGGAAGAGATGGCCAGAGATCAGCTCAGTGAAAAGCTGCAGGCCCTGCCTATAAATAGCTCAGCAGATGACATCAGACAAGGCTTGTCACCAAGCTAGCCCTTGTTCTTTAAAAATCTAGCTCCTGGGGGCCAGGTGCAGTGGCTCACGCCTGTAATCCCAGCACTTTGGGAGGCCAAGGCAGATGAAATCACCTGAGGTCAGGAGTTGGGAGACTAGCCTGGCTAACATGATGAAACCCCATCGCTACTAAAAATACAAAAATTAGCTGGGTGTTGCGGTGGGCACCTGTAATCCTAGCTACTCAGAAGGCTGAGGCATGGGAATGGCTTGAATCCAGGAGGTGGAGGTTGCAGTGAGCTGAGATCGTGCCATTGCATTCCAGCCTGGGTGATAAGAGTGAAACTGTCTAAAAAAAAAAAAAATCTAGCTCTTGGGTAAACAGTTATATTCAGTCCTTATCAGTGTTGGGAGATAATTACACTGAAGGTGGGGATGTAGGGAAGATAGGTTATACCTTCGAGAGACCCAAGATGGGGATTTTGTAGTTTTGGAGAGAAGGTGGGGAAATTGCTGTTAAGAACACAGGTTACATGGAAGGTTTGAGAGTAAACAGACAATTATGCTTTCGTGTAACAGTATATGCATGTTTGCAAAGGGGCTAGGCACGTAAAATTCAGGTTAAGGCATATGATAGATGTTCAAAGGCTTGCTAGCAATGAGATGGACTTCCATCATGGCTGAAAACTTTTTGTTTGGTCTTGTTTGTTTTTTTGAGACGGAGTTTCACTCTTGTTGCCCAGGCTAGAGTGCAGTGGCATGATCCCCACTCACTGCAACCTCTACTCCTGGGTTCAAGCAATTCTCCTGCCCCAGCCTCCTGAGTATCTGGGATTACAGGTACCAGCCACCATGCCTGGCTAATTTTTTAATTTTTAGTAGAGAAGGTGTTTCAACATGTTCGCCAGGCTGGCTCAAACTTCTGATCTTAGGTGATCCATCCAACTTGACCTCCCAAAGTGCTGGGATTATAGGCATGGGCCACTGAACTCGGCTGTGAAGAATTTTTTAAAAGCATGTTCAGTAGAGAAAATTAAGGGTTTGGCCAAGCAGCCCTTTTTAAAAAGATTAATATGGGTAGAAGGAAGCCAGGTTTTATTCGTCAAGACAATGGGAAAATAACCCCAAAGGCATTTCAGAGATCTCTGAGGCAAGCTAGGACCTAGAGGGCAATGTTTTCAGAGAGGGGGAGATGAGGACTCCCTCCCCAAATTACAAGCTCAGCTGCCCTAGCCATGGCTCAAGTGATCCTACCTGCCCACGGGTTTGACCTGTCAGTCCACAAAGTACAAGCTGTAGATCGGTTTTATACACACACACACACACACACACACACACACACACATATCAAATTGCACCCTATAAATATGTACAATTGCACCCTATAAATATGTACTAGATATGTATTGAAACATCAAACGGCATCCTATAAATATGTACAATTATAATGTACAGTTTGTCCCATTTCTATTTAGATACAATGTGTCAATTAAAAAGATAATTAAAAAGAAAGTACAAGCCGTGAACCTAGGCAGCATCCATGTGATTCCAATTCTATAGGTGCACAGAACACCTAGATCTCCAAGGATGTTGTAGACAGTCTGGGGACCCAGGAAGAGATTTGTCACAGGGGAAGGGCCATTGCAAAGAGTTCTCACTAGGGAAATGCCTAGTGGAGTCATGAGAGTGGGGCAGTTCTTGAGGCCACAAACTGTGAGGCCTCCAGTGTGCAACTCCAGCCTGGGAAAGCTGCAGGCATGATTCCAGCCCATGAGAGATGCTGGGTAGACTCAGCCCAGTTGCCTGAGGCATTGGGGGCTCAATTCCCACTCCAGTTGTGCCCAGGATGTGGGACATGCAATCAACGAGGATTATTCTAATATCTTTTTTTTTTGAGATGGTCTTGCTCTGTTGCCAGGCTGGAGTGCAGTGGCGTGATCTTGGCTTACTGCAACCTCCACCTCCTGGGTTCAAGTGATTCTCCTGCCTCGGCCTAACAAATAGCTGGGACTACAGGCGTGTGCCACCACGCCCAGCTAATTTTTGTATTCTTAGTCGAGAGTGTTTCACCATATTGACCAAGATGGTCTCTATCTTTTGACCTCATGATCCACCCACCTCAGCTTCTCAAAGTGCTGGGATTACAGGTGTAAGCCACTCTGCCCTGCCTGTCTTAAGATTTAATATTGTTTTCCCTCTTGGGTTTTAGAATCACTTGGGACCAGTTATCTTTCTTCTTCCCCATTTCTTCCTTTTGGAATGGGAATGTCTATTTGATGCAATTGTATCCTGGAAGCAGATAAAACAGGCTCACAGCTGGAGGCAAATTTACTTCAGGAAGAATTGTGCCTGGATCCTCACCCGTATCTGATTTAGATGAGTCTGGAATTTGGGCTTTTGAGTTGATACTGAAACAAGTTGAAACTTTTGGGCTACTGGGATAGAATGAATGTATTTTGCATGGGAGAACGACATGAATTTTGGGGGCCAGGGACAGAATGTTGATTTGAATGTGTCCCCTGAAGTTCATGTGTTGGAAACTTAATCCCCAATGTAACAGTGTTGAAAAGTGAGACTTTTAAGAGAAGATTAGGTCATAAGAGCTCTGACCTCATGAATGAATTCATGTCATTATGGTGGATATACATTCATTATCATGACAGTAGGTTTGTTATAAAAGTAAATTTGGTCAACCTCACACTCTCACCATGTGATGCCTTCTCCCAGGTAATGACACAGCAAGAAAGTTCTCACCAGGTGCAGACCCCTTGGCCTTGTAGTTCCTGGCCTCCATCACTGTTAAGAAATAAATCTCTGTTCTTTTATAAAGTACCTAGTGTTAGATAGTCCATTATAGCAGCACAAAGTGTACTAGCTGCATTGTGTTAAATATGCATATACTATTACCCCACTGATAGAGCATCATTTGTTCTCTACGTCACTGCCAAGCCCCATGATAGTTACTTTAAGTGTGAAAACATGTGCTCCTCCTCATAGGAGTAGGTTCCAACTGTTGCTTCTGAGAGTCAGGAATCCATTTTGGAAAAAAAATAGACAAAAATTGATAATGCTTTGTGTTTATTGGTGATGCCCGTCTTCTTTGAAGATTAAGAAATGACACTGATGTACAAATGACTCACTATGTGACCCTCACCTGACTCTACCCTCGAAGGGCTGTAATAAATCCCTTATATTTTCCAGTCTATATGTCCCATTTCTGTTTAGACAGTTTGAAAGCTGGCTTGGATGTTGTACTTTTCAATTATGTTAATGTAAAAGACTCGTAATGAATGCAATATGAGTTTAAAGTGAGATTTTCAGATCCTATAAGTGCATCCTAAGTGATGACAGGCTTTAAGATAAGGAATATATGCATTTAGTTAAGGCAGAAATCTCACAAAATTTCCTTGAAAAACCATGGTCAGTCCAATGATGCACTTTTTATGACGAGTTTATCTAGAAATTGGAAGGGTTAAAAGACAACAAAAGACACACACGAAAAACCTCACTTTTAAGTAAATCTGCAACTTGAAAAAAAAGCCTAAGAATTTTCTGAGAGTAGTACCTAGTTTTATAGTAGCCCACAGTAACTTCCAGTGACTGAAAAATTTCTTTGCATTAGCTCACATGTGTGGTGAACGGCACTCCCATGAAAAGCTCTTGCACCCTTCTGCCTTCTTCCCACAGGCCTTGTCTTGTTTCCAAAGGTGATTGTAGTGAGGATGAAAAGTCCATAACCTCTAGGGATAATGCCATCCACTCAGGAAGAAAGACGCTGAGAAATTCTAGGGATATCCTAAGTGCACATGATGAGGTGAGAATCAATTGTAGAAGTTTTAAGAAGACATCTGAATTTTTGCCCCTAATCAAGAAGTATTTTGGGCCGGGTGCGGTGGCTCACGCCTGTAATCCAAACACTTTGGAGGCCAAGGCGGGTGGATCACCTGAGGTCGGGAGTTCAAGACCAGCCTGACCAACATGGTGAAACCCCATCTTTTTATTTAAAAAAAAAAAAGTATTTTGCCATCTGGTTTACATTCAAGAACTAGTTGGCTCATCATTCGCAGAAATAAACTTTCTTCTAGATTAGGAAACTTCATCATGAGATCTGAGATATACTGGTTTGGAGAGTTTCCTCAGTTTCTCCTGGCTTCGAAGTCCCCGGCCTCGGAGTGGGGTGAGGCCCATTGGAGGCAGATGAATCTGAATAATAACAATAATATGAAGAATCATACTCATAATCATTGCAGCAGCTCCTATTCACTGAGGATCTACTCAGAAAGTACTATACCCTCTGCTAACTGCTATATCTACATTGATTCATTAATCTTTACACATATTAATTCGTAATAACCTCATAAGGGATTATTATTCTAATACAGATAAGGAAATGAAACCTCAGAGAAGTTAAATAACTTGCTTAAGGTTATATATTAAGAAGGGAAGGCAGAATTTGAACCCAGATTTGTCAGATTCCAGAGCTTGTGCACTTTGCTATATTGACCACATAGAGGAGAAAAAATGAGCATGGATCACCTAACAAGTTGAGAATCCAAAGAAGGGGAGAAAAGTTTGTGTATACAGAGATGTTCCGTGCATAGTGGAAAGCTGGGATTAAACTAAATGCCTACCAATAGAGGGGCTGGTTAAATTATGGCTGGGATGGTTAATTTTTCTTTTTTTTTTTTTAAGACACAGTTTCACTCTGTCACCCAGGGTGGAGTGCAGTGGCATGACCTCAGAATCACAGATTTAAGTCATTCTTGTGCCTCAGTCTTCCGAGTAGCTGGGATTACAGATGCCCATCACCACATCCGGCTAATTTTTATATTTTGTATATAATTTTTTTTTTTTTGAGACGGAGTTTTGCCCTTGTTGCCCAGGCTGGAGTGCAGTGGCACAATCTCAGCTAACTGCAACCTCCGCCTCTTGGGTTCAAGTGATTCTCCTGCCTCAGCCTCTTGAGTAGCTGGGATTACAGGCATGCGCCACCATGTCTGGCTAATTTTGTATTTTTAGTAGAGACAGGGTTTCTCCATGTTGGTCAGGCTGGTTTCAAACTCCCGACCTCAGGTGATCCGTCCACCTTGGCCTCCGAAAGTGCTGGGATTACAGGTGTGAGCCACTGTGCCTGGCCAAATTTTGTATTTTTAATAGATACAGAGTTTTGCCATGTTGTCCAGGCTGGCCTTCAACTCTTGACCTCAAGTGTCCACCCACCTCAGCTTCCCATAGTGCTGGGATTAGAGGCATGAGCCACTGTGCCTGGCCTAGGATGCTTAATTTTATGTGTCAATTTGATTGGTGATGGGTTGCCCAGATTAAACATCATTTCTGGGTGTGTCTGTGAGGGTGTTTCTGGATGAGATTAGCATTTAATCAGTAGACTGAGTAAAGCAGACGGCCCTCCCCAATGTGAACGGGCATCATCCAATCCATGGAGGGCCTGAATAGAACAAAGAGGCAGAAGAAGGGGAAGTGCCTCCTGGCCTGTGGACTCAAACTGAGTAACACCATCAGCTTTCTTCTGGGTCTCCAGCTTGCAGATGGCAAATCTTAGGACTTCTCAGCCTCTATAATCACGTGCACCAATTCATTATAATAAATCTCCTTTTAGGCATATCTAGGTATATCACTGTCTAGATATATAAAGAGCCAATTCCTCATAATCTCTTCACATATATATCTAGATATCTCTATATCTACATGTCTCCATTCTACGGGTTCTGTTTCTTCAAAGAACCCGAACTAACACAATGGTACATTCTTACAACAGCATAACAATCCCGTCATTTAAAAAAGATTGAGCTGGGCATGGTAGATCATGCCAGTAATCCCAGCACTTTGGGAGGCCAAGGCAGGCGGATCACTTGAGGCCAGGAGTTTGAGACCAGCCTGGCCCACATGGTGAAACCCTGTCACTGCTAAAAATACAAAAATTAACTGGATGTGGTGGTGCACTTGTAATCTGTAATCCCAGCTACTCAGGAGGCTGAGGCAGGTGAATCCCTTGAATCCAGGAAGTGGAGGTTGCAGTGAGCCAAGATTGTGCCACTGTACTCTAGACTGGGTGACAGAGTGAAACTGTCTCAAAAAAAAAGAAAAGAAAAAAGAAAAAAGATTGAGAGAGAACTACATGCAAAGATGTGTAGAAGAGATGATGTAAAATAAGTAGACAGTAAAACATTATATCCAGAATCCTACATATGTAAAGAAAAAACGTAGGTACATGAGTATAGAAAAAAAGACTAAATGGGTGTACTACCAAACTAATTAGGTTGAGCCACTACAATATAAAATCGCTGTTTTTGTAGGTAAAAGGATTGAATATTGGCAATTTTCCATTTAACAGTTAAAGTGGTCACCTTCTATACAAATAATTTTTTAAGAATTTTGTGCTGGGTGCAGTAGCTCACGCCTGCAATATTAGCACTTTTGGAGGTCAGGGCGGGCAGATTGCCTAATCTCAGGAGCTGAAGACTAGCCTGAGCAACATGGTGAAACCCCATCTCTATTAAAATACAAAAAATTAGCTGAGTACAGTGGCACAGGACTGTAGACCCACCTACTCGGGAGGTTGAGGCATGAGGATCACTTGAACCCGGAAGGCGGAGGTTGCAGTGAGCGGAGATCGTGCTGCACTCCAGCCTGGGTGACAGAGTAAGACTATCTCCAAACAACCAAACAAACAAAAAGGAATTTTGGCCAGGCACGGTGGCTCATGCTTGTAATCTCAGAGCTTTGGGAGGCTGAGGTGAGCCCAGGAGTTCAACACCAGCCTGGGCAACACAGTGAGATCCCATCTCTACAAAAAATGAAAACATTAACTGGGTGTGGTGGCACAAGCTTGTAGTCCCAGCTACTTGGGGAACTGAGGTGGGAGAATTGCTTTGGCCTGAGAATTCAAGGCTGCAGTGAGCCATGACTGCACCACGGCACCCATCCTGGGTAACAGAGAGAGACATTTAGTCTCCATAAATAAATAAATTAAATTTAAAATTTTAAAATTTATTTTGTTGTTTTAAATTTATGGTTTGAAAGAATTTGAGAAAGAAAAACATAAATTTATATATATTTATCATTCTAAATTCATATAAATTTGAAAATTAGTTTCTTGATAGACATTCTGAATGTATTAAATTTATTTATATAAATTTATTTTATTTATTATTTTAAATTTATATATATTTGTTTTTATTTATTTATTTATTTAATTTATTTTTTGAGACAGGGTCTTGCTCTGTCACCCAGGCTGGAGTACAGTGGTACAATCATGGGTCACTGCCGCCTCAACCCCCTGGACTGAAGCAATTCTCCCACCTCAGTCCCTCAAGTAGCTGGGACTACAGGAGTGTGTCCCTATGCCCAGCTAATTTTTAAATTTTGTGTAGCAATGGGGTCTCACTGTGTTGCCCAGGCTGGTCTCAAATTCCTGGGCTCAAGTGATCCTCCTGCCTTGGCCTCCCAAAGTGCTAGGATTACAAGCATATGCTACAGTGCCTAGCCTAGGTGAGAATTTTTGACCATTTTTACTTTCTACTTTATGCATTCCTTTCATGTTTGAACTTTCTTCATTTTTTTTTTTAAGTAATGAGTTTAAGCAATGAACTTTATTCTTTTAAGTAATGAGTTTAAGCAATGAACTTTATTCTTTTAGTAACAATAAACCTGCCTTTTATAATTAAAAAACTACATTTCCATAAAAAAGATGAAAATGAAATAAGAAAAGCTCTATAGTGTGAGCTGGTTTTCCCTTCCATATGTGGAAGGCTGTGTAAGTAGGAGACGTCATGCATTCATTGACATTTTACTTTGTTGTGATGGCTGGCAGCATGCAAGGATAGCTTATTTCCAACATGCTTCCCACAGCAGCTCTAGGCTTCTCAGCAAGCACTTGCCCTCTTGTTATACATTCTTGGAAACAACTGTGTTGATGAGGGTAAGTACCCACCACCTGTTTAATCAGAGTCACACTTACTGGCCTTGGATAAGGAATCTTGTAATGCAGTCCAATTTCAATCCTGGCTGTGCATTCATCTATACACTGTTTAATTAGGTCTGTGTCCGTGAGCTATTTAAAAAGGAAAAAGAAATGAGGCTGTTAGCATATTTCTAACGGTACACAGAGTATAGGTATACATTTTCTCAAACTTTTTCAGTTCACTGGCCAGTAAATTAAATGTTGCTAATTTGGAAAATCAAAAGCAATTTAATATTAAAGCTTACCATAAACTTTTTGAATCGTTAAAGAAGGTAATATGTACACATGGTAAAGATAACTCAAATAATAAAAAGGATATAACATAAAAGCTCTGCTTCCCTCTTACTCTTCTCTTCCAGTTCCTCATCTCAAGATAACAATCAGCAGTTTCTCATGTGTTCTTGTAGGGGTATTCTATGTATATATGAAAATGCACATGTATATAGAAGCTTATTATTTTTCTCATGCAAACAATAGCTCCCTTTGTTCTGAACCTTTTCTTTTTCATTAACATAACTTGAAGTTCCCTCTATTTCCATCTATAGAGCTGCCCCTTCTTTTTAACTGCTACACAAAATTCCAACAGAAGGCTTTATTATAATTTAACCAATCTCCTACCCATGGATACTGATTTCCAACTTTTTTGCTATTATAAGTGATTCTGCTATGGATCCCTCTAAAATTATTTTGCTCCCATGCATATGTATCTAAAAGATGAATTCCTAGAGAGAACTGCTAGGAAAAAGGGCATAGGTTCATGCATTTTTAAGTCTCATAGATATTCCCAAATTACCAATTTGTATTCCTACCAACAATCTATAAATTATATTCCCACCAACACTGACTGAGTGCTTCTTCACACCCTCTTTATGTTAATTAAACTTTAAAGTTACCCAATGGTTTCTGCAAGTGCTGTTCTGAAACCCCTGGAGTAAGACACTGGAGAATGATCTACCCCTCTTAAACTGTCAACTGCCTTGCTCATTAGTAAGGGGAACAAAGGGCTTTTGAAATTCCAAAATAGTCAAATCATGGTATAATCTACTTTCAATTAAAGGAATAAGAAATTCATTCTGAAAAACAGCCAAGTAGGAAAAAGGGAGAAACTCTTTCATTCTGAGGAAGGAAATGAATCAAGACGCGGCTGTGCTGGGAGTTTGCAAGCTGACCTCAAAGGAGAGCTAGGATTGCATCAGCACCAGATAACACCCACAGCAAAGTCTGGGTCCATGTGGCTTGGAAATTTCAAGGGCATTCCTGTCCTATGGCACCTCTTGGAGCAGAGACGAAGAGTTCCAGGAACAGCAATGCAGAGAACCACAGCTGAGTCCCTTGTGGCAGAGGCCCAACTTTCTGACCTCTGTGCTTCTCAGAAGCCATTGATTTGCTGTCTGTGTTGGAAAAGATTTCCACATTCTCATTTGCCCACTGAGATTCAGAGCAGTTCACAGGATACCTCTGGATTATTAAACTCTCAGAACAATCAAAGTTACAAGAAACTCCTTACGTCTGCATGAGGAAGAAAGAAAAAGCCTTTGACAAAGATATTAGTTAAGGGGGTTGGGGCTTCTGGGACTTCAGCTGTCTATCTGAACAAGCCGGGGCTAGCATACTCCAAATTCAGTCATTCACGGGCTGGCTGCATGATTCTGCCATATCCACATACTACATATACTAATGTTAAAATTTTTCATTAAATGAACTCTCTCTTAAGCAATAGTATTTGTGAAGTGTGGTCTAATATTCTCTTTCCTTTCTAACACGTGCTAAAGCAAGTACATATCTTAAAATTAAAAACCCATGTACCTCTTCTGCCTACTCCCAAATAATCTCATGTACTGTCTGTGACACATACACCTCCCTCTGGCCCACCCCTCGAGCCAATCCAGGCCAAGGCAAAGGAAGGGTTATTGCAATAACTGAAAAACCAAAGTCTGAGTAGTTTCCAGATGAGTGTGCATGCAAAGGTTTATTGGGCATGTACTAGGCCCAACACCACAGGCTGGACAGTGCCTTAACTATCCAAGTTATTACCTAGGCAGAACAACTCTGATACTTGAAGCTACAGAAAAGGCACAGTGGTATATAATCAATGGATGCAGTGACTGCTACAGACAGCTATAGGAATTCAGAACAGGTGGCCATCATGGGATTGGGGGGGGGGTAGCAAAGAAATTGAAGATTTCCTAGAGGAGTTCAGTTGAATTAAAGTATTTACAGCTGCTCATTCATTTAGTGACATCACAATGAGGTCCTTTAGGATATACTAGAAAAGTATAAGACCTTGTTTATATGTTCAAAAAACTGATAATCTGGTTGGGAAAACTATGGCAACATAAAGAAGAAAAAGGAGAATATAAACAGCTACTTAGGGATCTCCAAACCTTTTGATCACCTACTCTTTTTATTATTATTTTTTTTTGAGACAGAGTCTTGCTTTGTTGCCCAGGCTGGAGTGCAGTGGTGTGATCTTGGCTCACTGTAACCTCTGCCTCCTGGGTTCAAGTAATTCTCGTGCCTCAGCCTCCCGAGTAGCTGGAACTACAGGCATGCACCACCATGCCCAGCTAATTTTTGTATTTTTAGTAGAAATGGGATTTCACCATGTTGGCCAGGCTGGTCTTGAATTCCTGACCTCAAGTGATCCACCTACCTTGTCTTCCCAAAGCGCAGGGATTACAAGCGTGAGCCACTATGCCTGGCTGATCACCTACTCTTTTTTTTGCTTTGAGATGGGGTCTCGTTCTGTCACCCAAGCTGGAGTGTAGTGGCGTGATCTCAGCTCACTGCACCCTCTGCCTCCTGGGTTCAAGCAATTCTCCTGCCTCGGTCTCCTGAGTAGCTAAGACTACAGGCTTGTGCCACTGTACCTGGCTAATTTTTGTATTTTTAGTAGAGATGGGGTTTCACCATGTTGTCCAGGCTGGTTTTGAACTCCTGACCTTGAGTGATCCACTCACCTTGGCCTCCTGAAGTGCTGGGATTACAGACATGAGCCAGTGTGCCCAGCCCACCTACTCTTTTCATTAAAAAAATTTCTGAGTCCACAGCCCCCATATATGTATTTATATTAATTTATAAATTTAGTAGTTTATAAATTATATATATGTACAAACAAGTTCATTGTAACTATGTACCAGATGGACTTTTTACAAAGATGAAAGGAAAGAATAAATAGAAATAGCAATTGTATTTTATTCCCATTTTAAGGAATTCATGCGGTACATATACTCTGGTTTGGCAAGCATGGCCTATGCTAAGAGCAGAAAAAGTTTGGGGAAGCTAAGTTTGGAGGAATGTTAGAAGGATAGAGAGAAACTTCATAAGTAAGTCAGCCTTGAAAGGCTAGAAGCATCATGGATTCAGAGAAGGGAAAGTTGCTGCCGATTAGACGGGTTTCTTTGGTAGCACTTTTTATTTTTTTGAGATGGAGTCTCACTCTGTTGCCCAGGCTGGAGTGGAGTGGTGTTATCTCGGTTCACTGCAACCTCTGCCTTCCGGGTTCAAGCGATTCTGCCTCAGCCTCCTGAGTAGCTGGGACTATAGGTGCATGCCACCATGCCTGGCTAATTTTTATATTTTTAGTAGAGACAGAGTTTTACCATGTTGGTCAGGCTAGTCTGGAATTCCTGACCTTGGGCCTTCCAAAGTGCGGGATTTCAGGTGTGAGCCACCATGCCTGGCTTTTTTTTTTTTTTTTTTAAGAGACAGGGACTTGCTATGTTGCCCAGGTTGGTCTCGAACTCCTGGGCTCAACTGATCCTCCAGCCTTGGCCTCCCAAAGTGGTAGGATTACAGGTGTGAGCCACCATGCCCAGTCTTTGTAGCACTTTTCTCAACTGTCATTTTATATTTCTTTCCATTTAACTCAAATGCCGTTGACAGCTCTGCCTTGGTTTGGCTTATGTTTGTCCTCAACACCTAGTCTTGTGTTTGGCACATAGTGGGCAATTGATTATTTGTTGAGTGAGGAATGAGAACAAAAAGTGGCAGAGTGGTGACAGGAGCTGTGACACCAATGGGCCAGTGGGGAAGGGGAGGCATTCCTGTAGAAAGATGACCCTGCTTTGGACCATTATGCTCTGGTAAGGTCCTTCAGGTGGCCAGGCATAGACCAAGGCTGAGGATTCAGATGTGATAGCTTAAATCACAAGGTGGCTGCATGTTGCACAGGCCTCAGCACAGAGGTTTGACCTTGAGAAGACCCCTGCAGCTGGCAGGAGGGCGTGTGATGACAGGGCCGAAGACAGGGAGTCAGAGGTCAGGGAAGGAAAAGTGGTGAGGGTAGATCGTTAGGAGGTTTCATGAGGGGAGCAGTGACAGCGCTAAATCTATTAGGTCAGTGAGGAGGTGGAAGAGAAGTCAGGCATGAAAGCCTCTTTCCACGCTTAGCGCCAGGTGGTCTTTCCTGAACCTAACAGCTAATGCTTTAGCGCTCGTGGGGGTGGGTCCAGTCTGGCTCCCTGCTGTCTGGGTGTGCATTTCCCTTAAACCAGCTAATGGAGACACTATTTTACCCAATTCTGTGGTCCCAAAGGGCAACCTCACTCTGCTAACCAAAGAGGCTTGAGTTCAAAGCTGTTATGAAGGAAACCCTGTGTCTTAATCCTATTCTCTTCCTTCTAAATGGCTTTATATTTAGAGGCTTTGAATAGTTTATGAATTGAAAAAAAATAAAAAAACAAAAAACCACTTCCCCACACACCTCCTATGGGAGTGGCCAGCAATGGGTACAGTATCGGGACTGGCTCCTCCTCTGAAAACTCTCATTGGCCTGACACATGTCACCTGGCTCATAGGGTCTTCTGAGCACAGTGAGCCACTTACTGGCTGGTTTGAGACCTGGAAGAAGTGAAGAGAGAAACACAGCCTTCGCAGTGGTCAGGTGAGCTAGCCAAGCTGTGCACTGGCCCCTTCCTGCCCCACGTTCTGCCACCACGACTGTGTGGCTCAGCCCTCTCAATTAAGGACCGAAAAGAAATAAACAAATATCATAAGGAACTCCTCTCCTCTGTGCAATCTCCCAGTGGGGTCTACTTACATTTTTGTTTTTCCGGAACAGTGTTCTGGCTTCATTTAGTATGTACTGTTTTTCTCTGATGGTGTCTTCCATCTGCCCTGATGTCGCCTGCCATTTCCTTGCAAGCCTGAAAATGCTGCGGTAGAGGCCAAGGACTTCTTGTCGTGTTGCCGTTGTCATCTTCAGACCCACCAAAATAAAAAAGGGAAAATCTGCATAAAAATGTAGTTTGACAGGAGGCAGCCAGGCAGATGTACAGTTTTTTAATCAAGACCTTTAATTAGTCTAGAAATAATTGGTCTTTCTCAACAGATCTGTTGGGTAGCACTGCTGCAACCGTGTAATAGAAACACAGTATCTCTCAACTGGCTTAGTAATTCATCCACAGGTTGAAGGTTGCTCAACTACACTGTTTGCCATGGCAAAACCAAAACTCATACTTACTATTCTTTAAACCGGTCCAGTAAAATTATATTACTCACCCAAATGCCTAGGAGAAGGCATATTTTGGACAATGGAATTTAATCCATTGGTTACAAATTCAAGTGCCTCTGCAGCCTGGCAGGTAATATAAATGAAAGGACCTGCTTCGATGGGGACAGTGGCCACCTAGACCAGACATGCCCCCTTGAAACGGAACAGTTGCTATTCAGCTCCAGCCAGCAGCTGCCATGTAGAAAGAAGTGCCTAGGAATGCCAGATTTCCTGATAGCTTAAAAATAGGTGGCAATCCAGAGTTTTAAAATATGACATCTCAAAAAAACACACTAAGTCATTATTTTTGAAAATGTGAGGCTGGGTGTGGTGGCTGACACCTGTAATCCTAGCACTTTGGGAGACTGAGACGGGAGAATTACGTGACCTCAGGAGTTCGAGACCAGCCTGGGCAACATGGTGAAACCCTGTCTCTACTAAAATACAAAAAAAAGTTAGTCAGGTGTGGCAGGGTGTGCCTATAGTCCCAGCTACTTGGGAGGCTGAGGCAGGAGATTGCTTGAACCCTGGAGGCAGAGGTTGCAGTGAGGCAAGATCGTGCCATTGCACTCCAGCCTGGGTGACAGAGTTTTTTTCTTTTTTTTCCAAAAAGAAAAAAACAAAATACAGTGTGAGGACTGTAAAGGCCAAACAAAATGAGTCTATAGGCTCAGTTCCACCCAGAGGTTGTCAGGTTGCAACCTCTCTTTTAGTTTGTCGTAAACTTTTTGGAAACATTTTTCAAAATTGTTGGTCTACTTTTTTGTCCAGTAAGTATAATTAAAAGTCTTTCTGGGCTGGGGGTGTTGGCTTACACCTGTAATCCCAACACTTTGGGAAGCTGAGTTGGGTGGATCACCTGAGGTCAGGAGTTTGAGACCAACCTGGTCAACATGGTGAAACCCCATCTCTACTAAAAATACAAAAGTTAGCTGAGCATGGTGGCAGGCGCCTGTAATCCCAGCTACTGGGGAGGCTGAGGCAGGAGAATCGTTTGAACCTGGGAGGTAGAGGTTATAGTGAGCTGAGATCGCATCACTGCACTCCAGCCTGGGCAACGGTGACATTGTCTCAAAAAAAAAAAAAAAAAAAAAAAAAGAAGAAAAAGAAGAAAAACAAAAGCAAAGATATTGGGACCAATATAATAGACATATTGTTATAACAGACCTTAAAGAATAAATTATGTATACAGTAGAAACCCGACTGTGCCCCTTCCAAATCATATTCCCCTTCTTCTCCTAGAAGGAATCACCATCCTGAATTTGTTATTGTGCATATCTTTACATGTAACATTTATAGTATTGCTTTGCAAGTTTATTTATTTATTTTATTACTATTATTATTTAAGACCGAGTTTCACTCTTGTTGAAACTCCACGATGGAGTGCCATAGCACAATCTCGGCTCACTGCAACCTCCGCCTCCTGGGTTCAAACGATTCTCGTGACTCAGCCTCCCAAGTAGCTGGGATTACAGGTGCGTACCACCACGCCCAGCTAATTTTGTGTTTTTAGTAGAGACGGGTTTCACCATGTTGGTCAGGCTGATCTCAAACTCCTCACCTCAGGTGATCCACCCGCCTCAGCCTCCCAAAGTGCTGGGATTAAAGGTGTAAGCCAGCATACCCCGCCTGCTTTGCAAGTTTAAAAAAGTTTATAGGTAAGTTCTGCAATTTGCTTTATTTGCCCATAACATTCATAAGATTCATCTACGTTGTTACACATGGCCCTAGTTCATATATTCTCACTGCTGCAATTCAGCCTGCTGTATGAAGATATCCCAATGTACTGTCTATTTTGCTGATGAATATTAGGTGTTTCCTTTTTAAAAAAATTATTTAAGGCCACATGCAGTGGCTCATGCCTGTAATCCCAGCACTTTGGGAGGCTAGGGCAGGCAGATCACTTAAGCTCCGGAGTTTGAGACCCAGTTGGGTAACATGGTTTTTACAAAACATTCATTTTATAAAAAATCAGCCAGGCGTGATGGCACATGCCTGTAGTCCCAGCTACTTGGGAGGCTGAGATGGGAGGATCGTATGAGCCTGGGAGACTGAGGCTGCAGTAAGCTGAGATTGTACTACACGCCAAGACTGAGCCCCTGCACTACAGCCTGGGTGACAGAGTGAGACCCCCATCTCAAAAACAAATAAACAAACAAAAAACCCAACAACTTATTTAAAAACTTCAGGCTGGCCCCAGTGGCTTATTCCTATAAGCCCAGTACTTAGGGAGGCTGAGATTGAAGGCTCACTAGAGGCCAGGAGTCTTGAGACCATCCTGGGCAATATAAAGAGCCCCTATCTCTATAAAAACGGGAAAAAAAATCTCAGACCCCACTTTTAAAAAATAACTATTTACAATATTAATAACTAAATAACCAAAATAAATTCAGGGACGCTAGGGGAAAAAAAAAAAAAAGTCTACTACTGGAAGATTCTGATTAGTCAAGAGTTGGAATAATGAATATTGTACTGCCTGGAACCAGAAGACAGGCTGGGACGACAAGGAGGGCAGATTTGGTGAGTAAGCAGCAAGGCCAGGCAGTTGGACACCTCATTCTGAGTTCTGGGTTTTCCTCTAACAGGATCATCAGGATCAGGAAGTAGGCTCCTCACTGCCTGCTGCTTGGGAACATGATCCATTTCCAACTTACAGAGGGAAAGGCATAAGGCATGGCATAATACACTTTAGGGCAGCCCTGAAATTATGAGACTTTGAACAGCTAAAGAATGCAGATTGGCTGGGTGCAGTGGCTCATGCCGGTAATCCCAACACTGTGGGAGGCCAAGGTGGGTGAATCGCGAGGTCAGGAGTTCAAGGCCAGCCTGGCCAATATGGTGAAACCTTGTCTCTACTAAAAATACAAAAATTAGCCAGGTGTGGTGGTGGGCACCTGTAATCCCAGCTACTCAGGAGGCTGAGGCAGGAGAATCGCTTGAATCCGGGAGGCGGAGGCTGCAGTGAGACGAGATCACACCATTGCATTGCACTCCAGCCTGGGAAACAGAGCAAGACTCTGTCTTAAAAAAAAAAAAAAAAAAAAGAATGCAGATGGAACTGTAAGTGGGCATGTTTACCTCGAAATTCTAAGTGCTTGCAAGGAATTCACCTTATAGAGAACTCCTCTTTCCAATATGAGCACTTACCCTGACCCTGATGACCTTTCTTGAGGTTTATTCTTGAGTAAAGAATGAGCCAACTGATGAAAAGCTTCAAACACTACTTCATCTAATTCAAAGGTTAAAATGACCAAAGTTATAGCCAATACCAATTCTGAGTCTATGAGGCTGCAAGGAAAAATGCTTACCAGGAATTCATAAAAACCAAGAGAGAACGTCATGCTTTGTGGCTTACTGTAATAAAAACCCAGATGAGATGATGACATTTTTCCTGGTAAGGAAACAGGTTTCTGAGTTTCTGGCTCTCCCTAAAACTCCATGGTTTCATATGAAAATACGTGAGTCAGTTCCTGTGAGGAGCAGGGAGTCTTTAACTAACATCTCTTAATGATTGCTTCACTTCCCTGTCATTAACAGACCGAACTTCCTTGACGGCAAGACACTTGAGTAAAGTGAAGAAGGTCAGGCATATTCAAACAGCAGCAAGGTTTTTATAGTTATTTTTGTTTGGTTTTTTTTTTGAGGCACGGTCTCGCTCTGTCACCCAGGCTGGAAGTACAGTGGCATGATCATGGGTCCCTGCAGCTTTGACCTCCCAGGCTTGAGTGAGCTTCCCACCTCAGCCTCCAGAGTAGCTGGGACCTCAGGCATGCGCCACCTCAGGTGTGCACCACCACAACCAGCTAAAGCAACCTTCTCTAAAGTCTGTTAGTTGGTTTCCTTCCACGATTCTAAGAACCACAGCTTCAAACTCTAACTGATCGTTTACCATAATCTGATACACAAGCCCTGCAATTAGGTTAACGCCCTCAAGGTAATGAGCAGTGCTAACAATTGGTACTTAATACGACCATTTTCAAAACACTTTAATTGACGTTTAAGTGTTTTGAAAACTAATCCTGAAAGGGATTTAGGTGATATCTCGCTCTGCAACATCAGGTGACCCAGAAAACCTGAGTTCCAAAGATTTCCCGAGAGAAGGGTTTGTAACTTAGCCTACCATTTCCTTCCAAGTCTTGAGAGAAAAGCAAGAAAAGAAAAATGTTTCTTTTGTTCTTTTCTTACTGGATTTGTTTCAGGTCTTGGATGGGAACCATGTTCTTTCTTGTCTTAGGGGCACGTAGCAATGCTGTTTTCTCTTTCTAGAAGGCTTTCCCTTGACGCCCTCCCTTTTACCTGACCAACACTATTCATCCTTCAGTTCCCTGTGAAAATATGGGTGTCTCAGAAGATTCTCCCCTGCTTCACCCACACTCATGGTTGGGGCTCTCCGTTGAACCTTCTCATAGCTCCCAATATTCTTCTTTGCATAGCACTCCCCACTTAAGTAATGGCTTGTTAATGTCTTCCCCCAGTAGACGCCAACCTTTTTGGGGAACAGTGATCACATTCATTTTATTTACTGCTGGATTCTCAGCACCTAGAAAGGCACATAATCAGTATTCAACAAATGTTTGCTGAATAATTGAGAGTATCCTGTGCTACAGAAAGTTTGTGATTCCAGAAACAGAATCAGCCATATATTTTTAAAAAAAGTTTAAAAAGCTCTTTTCCTTTTGCTTTATATTTTTGTCTTTGTTCCTAGA